AGCTACGAAGAAACACGGGTACGATAGTAGCATAGTTAGAAAACATGCACAGACTTTCATTACCAATTCTCAAAAAATGTATGCTATAGCTGCAGAGGATAGAGCAAAATGTCTTTCTTATTTTTTGTTTGTTAAAAATTGACAAGTTGACTTTCACAAGAGGCCTAGCAAGCAAGCAAGTCAATCAGCTGTCGAGCTGCTCAGCATGTGTGCGATCACTCTACACAAATGTGCAAAATATTCGAATATGAAATTTTCTAAGAACTTTTTACGATGACAGAAGCTCGAAAAGGCTTGCGTCTGGTTTGTTGCTTCATTTAATTAATTTAAGAATCAATAAGGTGGAAAGCTATAACGTACTATTTTTTCTACACGTTCTAATTTCTTGGCAGAACCTGGCCACTTGGAAAAAGTGACACATCAACAAAGATGACCCGTTTATTATTCCTTCTTACGAGAACTCAAACAACTCCTGTAAATGAAACTTTTTTTGCTTATCCTTGTAAAATAAGCAAAATTTATAGAATAGGACATCAAAATCTGAACACAGTTAGGTGTTTTATTGCTATTCTTGGTAAGAGATGAAATCTATTTTTCTTTACAACAAAATGACAAGTTCATTGTTGCGCAGGACAGCGTGCGGTTTTCGCTTGAGTTTGAGTGAAAATCAACTATTATCCAATGTGCTCACGCAAGACTAACCACGGAGATTATCAACTTCCTTTATTTGGCCCAGCTTTTACGGCTTCTGAGAGATCCGAGAAAGATCTTATAATGCAAACTGGAAAATTCCTAATAGAGGTTCTATTTGAAGGGCTCGAAAAATCAACGGAATGTCTCAAATACCCTCGTTTGATAAACATTGATTTTTTATGTAGAAATTAGCGGCCGTTTTGAAGAACAAAATATTAACCGGCAATTGAGCCCAGACAAACCTCAAGTGTCAGCTTTTCTAACACTTTCTGCGTCTGCTTCTACCTTTTGTACTTTTTATTGTTTTGAGCTTTTGCATTTATGGGACTTCTTGCCTGCTTTCAGCCCAAAATTTAATTCTGCTAGAATTTCTGTGTGATGCATTTTCAAGCGCCACTCTAGGGTGTTTGTACCTGCTAATGTCATTTGACGCACGATTATTAGAAAGAAATCATTTACAAACTAATAACGTAATATTTTGAAGATAATGAATGAACGATTCAGGTTCTGAGTTCAAGATGTAATTACCGTGAATGACTAAATAAACGTGACCCTCAGGAACGGAACTTTTACCATATGTGAAAAATTTATTTGAAATTATTGTATTTGTTTAGAAAAAGTCTTATAAACAAATCGTAAGAAAAGTCCGGACTTAGAGATTTTACATTGCACTAAATCGAGCGATTACAATGCTCAAACAACGACCACTGATGGTAACCAAATGACTCCCAACTTTCGTCTTCGAATATGCACGCACAGCACTATCGAAGTATGCTAAATCAAATACAGCATAGCTCAGACCCTATATGGTAGATCCGATCACTAGCGTGGTCCTAAAATTTCATGACTTCCTCGAAGATATCTATCACTTTCTCTCCACAGCAAGCGTGTACTAAACAATCTTTATTACAAGCACTTGTTGTGATATTAGCAAATAATATAGGTACATAATTGGCCACCGTTCGAATGCTGCCAAAATACACAATTGTGACTAAAATATATTGCGTTGTGTTTTAGCATCTCGGTGACCTTATTGGCGTTTGGCGAAACCAAATAAAAAACAGAATTAAAACTTTGAGCACATTTTTCTAGGTTCTCGGCCACCGTCACTAAATCAAGCGTAACAAGTTAAGGTTCTTCATTGTTTGACATATTATTAGTTATTTTTATTAACTGACCTATACTAAGCGTTAAACGAGAGGAGAAACTTTTCTTTTTACTTCAGGTCACCTTACCGTTCCAATTTGAACAGAGGTCGTCACGCAATCACATATTTTTCGAAAAATACATACATACCTATATTATTTTTCGTAATCTTTAACTTTTAACGGCATAATAAACATTGGCGCTCCGCAGGCATATTCGGAAAAATGCGTTGTTCACGGTACTTTATGAGAACAAACAAAGTGATTTTACTAATGATTTTAAACTTAGATCGCCTTATGCATTTCTTTAGGAAAAGACACCCGCGTTATCACTGCCTTATCGCGGAAACTTGAGATATTCGATCATATTGAATCATTTATTGATCTAGACAGGAACTCAGGACTCTAGCATTTTTGAGGGAATTATGGCACCTTCACTATTTACTCTAATAACGTCAAGTTAAATTGTCCTATTTATGTCTTTATATATATAATACTCAAGTGTTTCTGCTCACTTCAATGATGCAAGCCATGCCCTAGAAAATATATATGCTCGCAGCTAAAGATGGCTTGTGATGACCAATCCGGAATTACCTTTCTCAGATTGCTCAGCCGCTTCCTTCAATTAATCATCATTGAAAAATAAAAAAATAGTAATAAGAGTAATGAATTCTTCTAATAATAATGAACTCTTTCACAAGGCTTATTCTGATTTTTTAGAATGTATTGCATTATTCTGTATTGTTTTACATCGTTCGCAATGTGTGAAAATATGCTTTCAGGTAACCGTTAAGAGAAATCACATAGCGTTCCGTACACATCTGCAGTTAGTAAATAGAAAGATGCTTCCATTCTTTTTTTTAACAAAGAATAATATTGTCAAGGCTGTTTTTAGATTGTTCGCGCGTAGGTACGTAGAAATAATCATTTTAGCTATACTAATTGGCTTTACATTTATTTTTAAGGATGTAAAGGAGAGGGTAACCAAATAGTCATTGCTTCCAGTAAATTTGTTTATTGTAAGAAATATTATGTTGACTCTTTCTGCCCGTGTAATGTTATTTTTTGCGTTCCTTGCATTATTTAATTAAGCTAGTAATATTAATTCATCCAAAGTTCATTTTGATACATGAAATTGAAGGTTTGCCCATATTTATTCAGTTTACTTAGGTTGAATGCTGATTTCGTTAACTCTTTTAATACAATTCATATTGTACATCCTTTATATACACGTAGCACTTGTGTAAAACTTTATATCTAATCCCACTATTTAATTAATACGAGGGAAGCTAGTTAAATAAGTAGTCTAAAAGAAAAGACAGAATGTTAAAAAAAATAGCAGGTAATGTAATTACTTTGGGTCATCTTGCACAATCTTAAGCAGAGTGACAACAATAACCAGATAAAATCACATGTCTGTCCAAGTATGGCTTAGAGTATTATTGATAAAGCATGTAGTATTATACGGAAAACAATACGTAACGCATGACCGATTTTCTTCTATGAAAATGAACTCTGCATTGAATGCAGAGTATGGATGAACGTTGGCATAAGGCCTTTGTGGTGTTATTGCGCACTTCCTATACCTTGCATCTAGAATCAAACGAAATACATAACAAGCTTGTATAGTTTTTTCTTATTGAAAAGCGTGCTCTTAATTAAACTCATATCCTAAGCTGTTCCTAAGTGACCTCGTTAAAACGAAGGGCTTATCGGAAGGAGAGTTACGAACTATGGTGCAGATACTTAATATTTGAAGCCGCTATACATTTTTTGGCGAGAGCCTTTTCTTTAGCGTAATTAAATACTGGCACTTAACATGAATAGTGACCCGATAGATCGCAATCAAATCATTTCGAGCTTGTGCAGGTGATCTGGTTATAATGGAAACATTTGAGATTAAAAATTGCTTAATTAAAAGTTCCGCTAAGTAAAATAAGACTCGCAGATGTTTAGTGAGTTGAACAACCTTTTGCCATTGCACGTTTAATTAACTCAAGCGTATGATCACGGAAGGCTTTATAACTGGAGACTAGTAAGGGCTAGTAGGTGATGTTAGTCGAAAGATGCGGGCCGATGAGCGGTTAAGATAAAAAAAATATGAGATATACTATCATAACGTGAGCTCGATTCCTTGATTATTCCCTTGTTTTTAGCTAGATCCATTTTATAGAGTATACATAATAATAAAATCTTAGTTGTGTTATCTCATATTAGACAACTAATTATTACCACGAAACCTTCGAATGCTCACCGACAGCAGTGCATCCGTTAGCAGGCAGAAGCCTTAGTTATTTTTTTGGTTCCTGAGCGCATCAGCACCAATTGCTGGGTACACCTAATGCTGTTTTTGTTCATTACCATATGATGCCTGTTCTTACTGCATATGTTGCCTATTAGAAACTCGTCAATCTTCAATTGTTTTCAATTCCAAATTGTAAACAATCTGCATGAATATGTAAGTAAACTAAACCAGTATTTATATCGGTGTCAACGAGTATCTATTAAGTTTACGGCTCTTTCGTTGAGCCAGGCTTTAAAGATTTTGGTGTGAAGCTTTCAGGCTAAACACCGCCATCAAGAAATAAACTTCTGTCAAAGTCTAGTACACCACAGTTCTGTACTTGTTAATTGCCTGATTGGTCAGAATACTGCTGCGTTAATATAGTGCTGCCTTATAAATGCTAAAACTAGTAACTTCTGAACTTCGGAAACTTGTTTACACAAGGTCCCGAAAGAGCTTGTTGACTCATAACTATCTGTTGTAGTTGTGCGTTCCCTTAGACGTTTCTTAAATCGAAACGTTTATTAGAGTATTGGGATACAATTGTACCTAATAAGCGTATTTTTCATCTTAGATGCTTTGGCATTTTAAAATCAACATTAGTTATACACTATACTCAGTCATTTGCGCACTCTAGAATAGGCGATAGCTATAGCGCGGCTTTTCAAACATCCCTTTCTGGCACTGGAAGTCTACATTTACACGAAACCTGCTACTTAAGTGCTGTGATCAACCCTATGGACTTTCTCTTCAAAGTCAACGTTATCATTCATGTTCTGTGCCACCAGCCAATTTTGACTGAGTAATTGGTCGAATTTTGTCTCGCTCATTCTTTGGTCCCTATTTGTTTTCGCTTGGGATTGTTTTGGTTCCAAGGTGCCATCTAGTCATAGCGGTGGCGCTGGGCTTAGGGATAATCGAACAGCGAAACTCGTTAGCCGGATTTCCCTTTGGTATTGGCACACCCCTTATGTCCAGTAACACTTCTGCATTTGTATTGTGCGCTACGGTACATTGAAGTTGTTAGTATATATGGGCACTACTTGTATAGTTTGAGTTGACGCAGCGTATGCGCGTTTCTATGCGGCGGTTAAGATGAACTAAGCTACTACAACAAAAACCAATACTGTCTGCTATATTAACATCGACAAGAGCGGTCACCGTAGCCGTTCTGGTTCTACGGCATCTGTCAATACGGCCCATACATGCGCCCCTCCCGGCGACGTTTGAACGAACATACGCTTCACTAGAACGTGCCATCAAAAATTCCCACGGATCTCGGCGAGGTTTGTGTGGCGCACGCAGAATATTTTCAGACACGAGGGCAGCAGAACTTGTCCAGAAGAACTTCCGAATCGAAATTTCACGGCACAGCACAACTTCTGGGATGAACATGATTATAAGTGAAAACGATAAACGACTGTACCGTCTTATAACGTTGAAAAATGGGCTCAAGGCGATGCTTATATCGTCCGCCAACGATACTGATGCTGAAATGAGGGATGACGAAGAAGAATCGAGGGAATCCGGTTAGTTTTTATTTTCGTTTAGACTTTTATTTTCTGTCGACATACGGGTTGCACTTCTTTTTTTTAAGCCCCCGTTTTTTTTCTCCGATTAATAATAGTAATCGCAAAAACGGAAACTGCTAACCATTTTTTCGGAACATCATCGTTACAAAAGTAAATGTGGATAGTATTTGTGCGAGTAATCTTTGATAAATGATTCTTTAAATCAGTGAGTGATTTCTTAATCTAATAATATCATAAATCGATAGCTCTTGGCTTACAGAAAAGCTCGTATACGATACAACGCGTTTTAGGTTAACTTGAAATTGTATAGAAAATGAGTTAGGGTATTGTAAAGAAATTTCTAAAAGGAACATCTCAGTCACAATAATAGAGGCATCGGATCTCTAGCCCGTCGTCCGAAAACAAATAGCAAGTGTTACTAAAGATTTTACTGCGAAATTTAAAAATGTCATCTACATTATTAAAATTCGATAGCTGCGAAGTAGCGTAGAAAGCTCTAGTCGCTTAAAGCAGCTCCTTAAACGTGATGATTATACAGTCAGAAAGAGCTGCGTCGTTCCACGTTGAAGAATTTTTTTTGGTCCAGTCGATGTAGTTATTTGTGAAAAACGTTTGTAGAAAGTTTGTAGTTATGCTCTATCCTCTCTTGGTATAGATTTTAAGGCTAACTAACACACAGCAAGCACTATTGTATCCTTTATTCTACTTTAGTGAATCGCTTGGCTTGCCCTGAGGGACTTGTTGCCCCATTGCATTACTTAGCGCTACTCTCATTCAATGCTTTAAGGAAAATTAGCACCATTGTTATGAGTAGGCAAATTTGTAACTGATGTGTAGAGTATAAGGACCCAAACAAAAATAACGTAATTTTTGTGGAGCAAATTGAAAATCGGTGTTCTTGTGTCGGTGTGACATCGTTTGCCTCCGCTTAAAACAAGCAAATATTACTTCAAAAAACACTGAAAGATAGAATCAACAGTCATCCGTACTCCCGCAGGAAACTTTCAACCAAGTATCGGTAAATGCGAAGCGAATGTTGCTGGTCAGTTCCTATAGTTTTCATTAAAAATAGACGTTAAAGGTGTGTACTCGAAATAATAATTTCGTCGAATTTATGCAGTAATTTTGAAAGGAAGCATGTTTTTTTTTCTTTGTCGTTTTGTACGACTGGACAAAACATAAAATAGTTTTTCTGATTTGCTAGTTTCAATACTACGCCGGCTGCTCTCAAGCAAGTTGTACTGCACTGCCGATTGAAGCGCTCCAAAATAGCGAGAACGTATCGTTTTCCTGTAAAGTATTCACTCGACAGTAATATATTATCTAAATTGAAGGTATGTAATTTGCTACAGAAGATTACGTAATGTGTGATCTAAAGCTTCAGGAATCTCTCTGTATTGGCATAAAACAATTATTACTACAACGACTGCTGTTTACATGCTAATGATAGAAACGTTCCAACTACAGGCGACGAAACGGATTCAGAGAGTACGGACAGGTCAGAGGTGTCCGCAGTATGTGCGAAAGAAAAGATGGCCGCAGCGGCATTGGCAGTACGGTGTGGCAGTTTCCAGGTTCGCGAGTTTTTTTCTAACATTCGTTAAAGCTTTTCATACGCACATCGAAACAGCTTTAAAGCGCCCAATATCACTGATATGTAACCTTATAGAAAGCAAAATTAAACGTTTTTTTTATCAATTCTTTAGAGCAATTACTTTTATGATTAGGTTGACGTGAATTCCATAGGAGGTAACAATACCTCATTACAGGGTACAATTGTTACTATATCTTGGTCTATACGTACATCTTTTTTTGTAATACAAACTGTAAGGCTATACGGCTAAACAAACTATTACTGGCTATTTTTTTTCATCATAGAGACTTTTTGATTTTGTAAGATGATACTATATCTTGGTGTATGTGAGATCCATACGATTAACCACTCGAGTTGTGTATTTTGGCCTATAGGGTGAGAGTAGGCAAACAACGTGACTTGGGTTCTCCGAAGGCGCTATCACACTACATTTAGCAGATCTGCGTCCTAGAGCCACACCCTGTTAAATTTCAATAGGATACGTAAACAAGTGTTGTATTTTTTCTTCCGTTGAATATGTGCAATTCTAGGAACCAACTAATTTAGGAGGGCTGGCTCATTATCTTGAGCATATGTTGTTTATGGGCTCAGAAAAGTACCCAGCCGAGAACGAGTACTCCGAGTTCATTTCGAAACACGGTGGTTCTGACAACGCTTTTACAGATTTTGAAATGACCGTGTATTTTTTCGACGTCAGCCAACCAGCATTTGCAAAAGCATTGGATATATTTGCAAACTCCTTCGTCAAGCCGCTGCTAAGGGAAGATTCGCTTGAGAGGTAAACACTGAGTAGTAGAAATCAATTTATAGTATCATTAACAAATGAAGAGGAATTATAGCAATCTTCATTGGGAGCAACTGTCGTAGAGAATACAAGATATATATCAATATATATATATATATGAGAATTCGTTTGAGGAATACAGCAGTAAATGAAATAATTGTTCATTACGTGCCACAGTTTCGTTAAAGAAGAGTTGGCAAGAATATTTGGAACTGATATTTGGTTAAGATATAAAGTTACCAAATTAAAACAATGTCGTTCGTTGAATGTTCCAAAAGTAGTCGTGATTGGAGAAGAGCTCGATTCTGGCGTTCCTAGCATAATATCATTGCTCCCAGTACGATAACGCATATATGGATATGTACAAAAAATATGCACCAGCTAATGGTCGCAGTTGGTGTTCGTAATCTGTATGGCACACAACTTAGATTGTATGGGTAAAAAACAGTGAAACTGACGTGAATTTCAAGAAGTTAATATTGTGGCTTAATGATGAAAATAACTCATTTGTGCGGATCATCTTGGTTAGCCTTTTTTTGTAATTTGGGGCGACAAACCTTTTTGACAAATTAGTGAAGAAATGAATTACGTTAGGTCTTGCAAATATGGCGTGAAATATAACCACTACAGCGTGTTATTGGTTGAAGAACTGAAACTTGCTGCCTTTCATAATTCTGAACAAGAACAAACCATATTGCTCTTGTCCTAGACTCAGTTACTCCATTCCAAGTATCGCGAAGCTTGTTTTTCGGCACAATATTTACACAGCACATGATACAAGCTGATTGGCGGTGACAGTCTGTTCTAGTAAAAATGTTTTGCCACATATCTTTTTTCACACTGCGTAATCGTTGTTTTTCGTTGTCTTAAATCAGTGATGTACTGTCGGAAACGCTTACAACACATCTGGTGTGATGATTTACTATCGTCATGTAGTCCTAACGTTAACTTCCCCCTAACTCTCGTCATTCTTTGTCTCGTGTGAAAAAAAATGCAAGTGACTACAACCAGCTAGCCTATATTTAATTGTGACATTTCTACGTACCTACTATGAGTATATAGTATAGTGAACAGGATGATTGTACCATGCGATGTAAACGCCAGAATAGATACTTTAGCGATTGTCAAAATATTACACTTTGAAATGCTTATTTTTTTCGTCTATTTTATGTTCTTGTCGGTTTTGTGTTTTACAGAATTGTAATTTCATTGGCGTAAATAATTCCTCTATTTACACAAAATATAGTGATGTGAGACTATATTTTGTGTACATTTATACACATTTAGTTTAACTGGTCTGTAGTAACGAATTTAGCGAATGCATTTGGCAGCCACTGTATTTTGTTGCGTGTTTTAGAATGATTTTCTATTAGATATTTATTTTTATTTAATATGATGTCTGTTCATATGCCACCTAATGAAAAGAATTTCCTCGGATGTGTAATTTATTATTTTTATTAAATGGTGATTTAAAATGCCACATAAACGTTTGATTTTCAGGGAAGTAGAAGCCGTGGAAAGTGAGTTCCAGTTACAACAGACGTCCGATACCGCCCGATTAGAACAGGTGCTCGCCGAACAGGCTGGAGTAAACCATCCAATGAGTCACTTCTGCTGGGGAAATCTGAAGTCCCTTCGTGAGATACCTAAGGAACAGGGAATCAATATTCGAGACGCGCTTGTGGACTTTTACAATAGTGAGTTGAAGCATTTCCGCCACCTGGCGATTTCTGTGCTACCCGTCTTACTTACTAACCGATTAAGGGCCGATTTGTAATAGTTGCACATTGCGCGGCTTGCTTCAACACTGCTATTTCTATATTCAACATTTGCGGTTGGTATGTAATATTACAGGTTATTATTCTGCAGAGGTCATGACTTTGTGTGTCCAATCAAAACATAGCCTCGATGAACTGGAACAATTTGTTCGCGATTCATTCAGTTCAGTGCCCAGAGGTAAACGTGTGCCTATCGTCTACCCGACTCAGCAGCCGTTCAGCAATAATCCGAACTTTTACAAGCTTTTCAAAGTGGTGCCTATAAATCGGGATGTAATAATAACCTTTAGATGGGTTCTTCCTCCGCAAAAGAGCCACTACAAGGAGAAGTGCCTCGATTATTTGGGTTACGTTGTTGGCCATGAGGGTCGGAACAGCATCCTGGACCATCTACGGAATAAGCAATGGGCATTAGAGCTAAGCGCAGGATCGGATGGTGACGGCTTTAATGATAACAAGATGTGTTCAATGTTTACGATAACAATCACGCTTAGTGAAGAAGGCGCTCGAAACATTGCTGTGGTGACAAAATACGTTCATCAGTATATGCATATGCTGCGTAAAAAGGGTCCACAGCGTTGGCTTTGGGATGAGCTCAAGGAAATCGCCGAATTTGATTTCCGATTTCAGGAGGAAGAGGAGGCTCAAGATTACGTTTGCGGTGTGAGTCAAGCAATGCAAGACTTTCCTGAAGAACACTATCTTTGTGGCAGCGATCTGTTTATGGAATACAATGCCACAAGGATTCAGGAACTCTTAAACTACATGACGCCAGAAACCTGCAACATCATGTATTACAACTGCGAATTTCAGAAGCACCCGGATCAATTCCCCTTGCGCGAAGCCTGGATGAATGTTTCATACAGTATCGAAGATTATCCTGAGGAATGGACCAGTCTGTGGAGAGATGACCCAGAATTCCAGCAAGCGTTGGATTTTCCTGAGCCTAATCGGTACATTCCAACGGACTTCTCAATAAAGAACGATGAAATGTATTGCAATGAGGAGTTCCCCATCGTCCTCGTCGAGCGCGCAGCTTCTAAGCTTTGGTTCCGAAAGGATGAGAAGTTCCTTGTACCTAAGTGTTTCATAAACGTGCATTTGGTCACAAAAATGGCGTATGCGAATGTGAAAAAAGCCGTGTGTCTTGATGCAATGAGCGACATTCTTAGCCAACTGTTAGCTCAGACGAACAATTATGCAGAAATGGCATCTCTTGAATATGAGCTTAACGGCTTAAATTCGGGAATGACGATTACATTCAGCGGTTTCAATCACAAACTTCCTTTATTATTCGAAACAGTGATGAATACACTAGCCACGTTTGACTGTCCCGAGGAGCTATTTAACACAATTAAGCTCAGTTTGCGAAAACACTATTACAACAATGTCCTTATTAATAAATACTACGGCGACGAAATTCGTTCAGCCATAGTGCATCAGAAGCATCACATTATGGCCAAACGGCGTGAAACGCTGAAAGCGATAACAAAAGATGACATTGTTCAAAACGCTCGGACACTCTGCCGCAGCGCGTATGTTGAGGCCTACATACATGGAAATACTACATCATCCGAAGCTCTTCAGCTTATAGAAAATTTAGAAAGAAAACTAACAGCGACCCCAGCTGACAAAAAAATAGAACAACTGCACGCCATCATCGAGGAAGAAGTTTACGTTCGCCTTCTCAGCATTAACCCCGAAGATAAAAATTCGAGAATTGTGAATTATTATCCCTATGGGCCTGCACACTTCTACGAAGAGACATTAATTCAATTCCTCGTATACCTGATGGAGGAACGTTGCTTCAAAGAACTACGTACGGAACAGCAGCTGGGCTATGATGTTCGATGTAGTGGCAATATCTACCAGGGTGTGATTGGTTTTTCTGTGTCGATTTCACCGGCAGCAACAAAGTTTACACTTACTCATGTCGATGAAAAAATTGATGAATTCGTTGACGATATGGTAAAGATGGTTGAGGAATTAGGCTTCGACGAGTTTAGTACGGTTAAGAACGCTTTAATCAAGATTAAACAATGTGTTGACTTATCAATGGAGGATGAACAAAAGAGAAACTGGAACCAGATTGTGCAGTTCCAATACCAGTTCGATAGGAATCAGCTAGAAACAGAGTTCCTTAAGACATTAGAACTGGAACGCTTTCGAAAGTGGTGCTTGAAGGTATTACCGTCAAAAAACCGTGATCGAAGAAAACTATCTGTACAGGTTGTTGCGTATGGAAAAGAAGCCCTCGAGGAATGCGAGGGCGGTGAAGAAATTTGGAAAAAATTTGAAGAAAAGGGTGAAAAAATGGAACAGGAGGATGCTGACCCTGAGATTCCACCAATAAAGATGCTTAAACCAAAAAAACCCGGCAGCAAGAAGTTCATCGATGATTTTGAAACGTATTTTGCTTCACTCAAGTACTACCCACCTGTCTCACGAAGTCCGAAAGAAGTGATTGATTTTTGACTTCGATATATGAACGTATAGAATGGAAGGTGAATAAATGTTGAGTTTATACGAAACAATTTGGTCAGTTATTTTATTTACAACGTGCATTATTCGATGCAATACTCCGCAATACTCATTTTCGGGTATGCTCTTGACTTCTTATTTACAAAACAACGCAAGGTTGTTAAAAGGAGTCAATTACCGGTTGAAGACGTTCGATTGCTACTAGAAATGCGACTCTCTGCGCCTGCCGTAAAAAAATTTTACTTGAAAAGGCTTAGACTGGGACATGGGACAACCTGTATATATAATAGAGCGTCGCTTACTATTATCATAAATCCATTAGTTATTTGGCTATAGATTTGCATATGTTTAAAATATTGTCATGTCCTGTTCAGTACAAAAAAAAACACCAAAGATTTTGCGGTAATTCAATGCTACTTCCTAGCAGAGAAAACGAAATATTTATATTGAGAGCTAAAATGAAATGTTCACCCACTGCATAACAGGCGCGTTGTTCGGTAATTGTTCTGAGACAATTTTTAACGTACTCAAAAACGTCTTTTTCAATTTATCATTTACCGAGGCCTTATGGCATTATTGATTGATCATATGGTTATATACATACCAATTTTGGTCATTGTAACGAAAACGTTGTTGTATTATTTTAGCATATGGTTGCCGGTGTTTTCCCATTTAGTTTCTTTAGGGACGCAAGTTATCGAGCTGATCCTTCATTGTCTTGCTCGTGCAACAGGTCTTAAAAAATATTTGTTGATGTTGCCTGAATTGCCAATGCAACGCAAGTTCGTCGAAGTTATACTGATCCTTCTTAACATACGTGTGTAGTGATTAACTTACATGCTTCCCATGTACAACTATCTTCTTTTTTTTTTAACTTCATCGCCTATGTTGTGCAGTAAATATGGATAGCGCAACCCGAATCACCCGGTCATATTAGACTGTTTAACAAGCAATCGTTCTCGGGACTTTCTATTTTGGCTGTTTAACCGAACAAATGTGCCTATCTGAATTAGACAAAAGCTATTGGGAAGACTGCAAAAGACAAGGCCGGAAGACGAAGTTATATAATAAATAACCTTCAGAGACCTGGTATTACTTTGGCAATCATTATTTTTGAAGTCTGAAGCTCATGAGTGAACTTGTTGAACTGCTCTGAACGGAAAGGATGACCCACTTGTAGTCAAAGAGAAACTACCAAATGAATTTATTCTCGTTTGCTTATCTACTCAAATAATACATGTGTCCTTTTCGCGCCCATATTGATACGATAAGTTAATTAGCTTTCGCCTTCAACATACACTTATTTTATGATTTAAACTTTTTCACGTCTTCATGATATTATCCACTAATTCCGTTCGTTCCATAAATTGGCATATAGCTGCGTATTTATGCATTGGCCTCAGGACTAAATTGCATTTTCGTTATTTGTATCAGTTTTTCTCTGGTGTTTCCCACTGACTAACCGAGACAAGATGCAGATGAGGTGCATTCACAGAGAACAAGGAATATACTTAAACCAGTTAAGTTGCATATGTGAAACCGAAAGTAAGATCCATGATGCAGTCATGCGACGGAAGAATAGAGAATTCGGATACAAAACATCGAGTCAGCGGCGAAAAAGACGGATGAGGAAATGATTCCGGCCCTAGTGAGCTGGCCTGTCGGTATCTAAAACGTTTATCGTTGTCCTTATCTTCTTTTCTTTTAATGCAGACATTACGACAGAACACACAAATTGAGAAAAGGCTTCACTAACTTCGCGCTTTTTTTCGTAGTATAAAAACAATGTAATTCTGTGAATATATTCAAACAACAAATATTTACGAAGAAAGCTGGCCGTTATACTTATCTAAGATTGCTGTCACTCTTAGAAATAATTTCATTTTAAGTTTACATTTATCACAGTGCTTCATCCTGTGATGCGCTTCTCGAGCTACCATTAGGTTATAATTTAGTGACCATGAATTTTGTGCATTTTCATCGCATTATTTCCTTTTATTACGTATATAGATCTTGTATCATCTGTTGCATTATATGGTTTGGATCAGGTCTTTATTTCTTGGCCTTTCGTCCTAATCCGCCTGACCAACATAATTCATGTTAAACGATTTTCACATTACCTTTGAGAAAACCTTGTGTTTAGTTTAACATAGTTCTCTTTCTTTTAGATACATGCATTGCACACCTACAACGAAATCTTTGAACATCTTTTGCTTTAAAACTTCGATAGCTCTCCAGCGCGTTCACTCTGCGAATTCAATTTAACCTTAATAAAACCCAATGCTATTTAACTCTTTGATGGTCGAGCATAAAGCGAATGTTCAGCGATTCTATGCGTATCATCTCTAGGTGTACGTATAATAGAGTTCGTTTTCATTCACTTAACCCTTGTCTACTTGTTCATTCTATCCTGGCTCAAGTGTTTCTTCTGGCTAGAATTTTCTCCAATCTTGTACTTAATTCTAGTACGAAAATAACAAAATTTGCTTTATCTACTTAAAATCATCTCGGAAAATGGTCACATTTGATTTCATCTCACACGTTAAGCCATCGTGTATAGCAGTCCATAATTTCAGTGCATAGTCTATGTTCACCATACGTAACCGTTTGTATTATTACATAATTCAACTACAATGTTGATTTATAACGTCGATTTGTGTTTAGCGACTGTTTAGAGAATACCCGCCCAATTAAGGATAAAGCACGCTGCGTTGCAGGTACAAGTTATGCTTGACAGAGGTATATTTAACGTTTGTTTCGCCTTGACGTATAAGCTACTTTGCAATGCAAAAGGTTTTGTCATGTTTGGAGCTTGGCCAGCAGTGTCTCACAGCTATCAGACCTTAAGACCCTCAGGATACTGCTAGGGTCTGCGCGTGCTTAACCCATAGCCGTCTCACGATCTTCATAATCGCCTTCTTCCTGTCACTGTAACGTGGTTCCTTTTCTAGAGAAACTACTGTCACCAGACCTTTGTTAAATTTTTGATGCCTCAAATCGTGGCCGTCGTTTCCTTGCGATGTCTACAGTGTCATCTATGCCCGCACCTTTAGTGGGCTTCGAATCACTCACGTGCGTTCACGTTTTTCACACTCTTCCTCCACCTTGGGAAGATCGGATGTCAATAGATTTGGAATCCATACGGAAATTCCTCTCTAAGCAAGTTCTTCTATTTTTGAGAAAAATATCCATAAGATCCATATTATTATGCAAGTGGCCAGATTCAAATATGCAAAGCTACCTTATAATATTAGGCTCACTATCTTGTTGCCTGTTACAAGTACAAACGTGAAACAACTGTTTATGCGATTATATACACACTTTATGAATCAAACTATAGACTACGGTCTGTTTCATCGTACTGACCTTGTTGTACTGAGCTTGTTAGTATGCGTTTCTTACGATAAACAACAAAGAATAACGATATATACATGAGCGCTTGTACGATTAAGTTCAAAGATTTTAGTTCTTTGCCTAATCTATTTAATTTTCTTTTTAGCCTGCATGTCCACCATATTCTGCAACTGTGTTACTCATTTTATCGGCCGAGTATTAACACTGGTCAACTGGACTATAGTTACGGTTAAATGCTCCTCAAGAGCTCTGCTATATTCCTATCCTTTTATTCGGCCTCTTCCAATACTGCTTAATGTATGCCGCAACACAGGTTGGCCTATAATAATACTATTCATAATGTTGATCATATGATATTTGCATATTTTGTATTATATCATAAACATCTATTCGCATCCCTTTTATAAAGCCGTACTTAACTGAGCTTTTTCTCAGTTTTTCCCGGGACTTTTAAAAACCCTCGACCGTAAGTGACGCAATACTCCTATTTCTACGTCATTGGAATCGTACTCGAATATGGCGTGCGCAAAAAATCCTATAACGGGTCGCCGAAGTCGAAAATCCAACAAGGGTCAACCACTGAGATGTGCCTAGGTTAATCAATAGGTGTTAAATGTGCTTGTTTCTAAAACAGTCACTGAAGTCAGCATCTGCACTTTGGACGTGGTATAATAATTTATACGAGGTACCAAATACTTCTAGTCTAATCCTCATTATAGATCCTTCGCGCACGCGTGATAAAATTTCCACTCAATAACGTATAAGGACTAGCAATAAGCAAAAATACCTGTTGCTAGTGAATTTTGGAATGTTCTGGAAGTCTCGTTTTGAAAACTAGGATTTAGCTGGCCCATATTCAGGAACGTTATTTTAACACACTAAACGTCTCGAATACGATTGCCAAATCGAACTGCTCAAGCAATATAGGGCACAAAATGTTAGCAAAACATTAACAGCGCAAACATATGTTTCTGGTTACTGAATGTATACAAACTTTTGTTATGTGCTCTCGATACTTGGGTGCGATATCTATAGCGGTTACGGTCAACGCCTGTGTTTTGCTGGAAGATGTTTAGCTACAGAGAAGTCTAGTACTCTTCATATTGGAGTTTTTAAAGCTGAAGCCTGAAAATAACGTTTCCGCTGTATATCCTCGTGCTGTAATCACACTTATTGGAGAAAACCCTGTGTGTGTCTGAATCTATTGGCATTGCTTGAAAAGAACGAATTCCTGTTTTGGCGTCCGAAACATATTTTGGAAGAAACAGCCCGTAATTTCTTTGGTTTGTTGGGTGAACGTGTTCCAGTAATCAAGCGGTTATTTCAGCGGTTCTAATTCCTTCAAAAAACTATTACCAATGTACGGTGTTTAGACTACTTCATTGTGTATCTGTTCTTCCTACATAAGTACTTATCCGAGTAGCAGTGGGCCTTCTAGGTATTTTTTGTGAACTTCGGCAAGTTCATAATTCTTGGACGCATTTCTTTATTAATACTGATTTTGGTTGCCGAAACGCAGCATTATCTTATTTTGAAGACTTAATTCCGGTACACTTTTAAAGAGGCTCTTAGCTTTTAAACGGCCATATCTTCATAAACGTACACTTTAATAGAGCTTACTAAGGGTTTCGTCCAGTAGTTTATAATCTTCTTCATAAACTGCAATCAACATCGTATAGGGCCTCTAAG